GATGTAATTCATTTGAGACTCAACAGTTTGCCTTTGTTTGACATTACATATAAAAGTAATAATACAAGTCATAAAAGAATGAGGCTAACCGATAAGTACCATTTTCAAGGGCCTACTATGTGCCATACTTTGTACTCACATTCTATGTAACACTCACAAAATATTTATCAGTACTTAAACTCCGTTTTACAGATGATAGAGGTGAGGTTCCTAACAGTTCACAACAGTCAAGTGACAGGGCCAAGAATTCAAGTTCCATGTTTGTTTCATCTCCCTTTATCTCCCTTCTTTTTTCACTATACAACACTATCCTTAAAACCTTCTAAACATCTGCCTTTAACCACATTTAACCAGCACGTCACATTTCTAGAAAAGCATTGCATCTGCTCTTTCATATAATTTCAGTTTTCAATAAAATTGTCCTCTCTGCCAAGGAGTTGTATAATCGTATCTGTCATATCAGCACTGGGAGATTCTGTTATTCACATTAATCAAAAGTATAAAAATTATTTTAGACTTATATATAAATGACTCTGTTCATAGCTGTAGCTGGTTTCTTCTCGGTGGGTCATTTCTACGTTCAGTGATTCTGTTTGAAGTCTGGTGAGTGGGGAAAAAAAGGCAAATACCTTATTGGACTCCAGCATTTAGAGCTAGTGGTGAGATAGATATCATATGAATGGAAATCATTCTATCTACAGCAAATACCTTTCGCTGAGGACTTACTATGTGGTGTGCCTTATGTTAAGAAGTGATCATACAATTATTCACTGTTATATTTAAAACTGATAACTCACAAGGACCTACTGTATAGCACAGGGAACTCTGCTCAATGTTATGTAGCAGCCTGGATGGGAGGGGAGTTTGGAGGAGAATGGATACATGTATATGTATGGCTGAGTTGCTCAGCTGTCCACCTGAAACTATCACAACATTGTTAATCAGATATACTCCAATAAAAACTAAAAAGTTAGGAGAAAAAGAAGTGATCATACAGTTATTCATTTGATAACTATCACTTCCTTGTAGGATAAGCAGGAGGTATTATTCCCTTTATATAAATGAAAAAACAACACACAGAAAGATCAAGTAACTTGCCCAAGGTAAGTATCACTGCTAATAAGTATTAGAGCCAGGGTTTGAATTCACATCTGTCAAACGTCAAAGCCATCAATACAGTGCCTCCCATCAGCTACTTCTGATAAAAAATGATCTGATGAAGTAATGCATCCACTATAAAAATAAGGTCAAGGAGAGGGTGCACGTTACAGTGATTGTAAAACAGAGGCTTTAGGAGATGTTACAGAAGATTATCTTCACAGACTTGGGGTTAACAAATATTTCTTAGGGCAGAGACAATATGAGCCATAAAAGAAAACAAATTGATAAATTAGACTCTATTGTATTAAAATACCCTATATATCAAAGAGTAGAAAAAGAATATTTGAGCCACAATCTGGGAAAAAATATTCATGAAACACTTATCTGATAAAGAACTTGTACCCAGAATATATAAAGAACTCCCATAACTCAATGGTCAAAAGATGAACAAGCCAATAAAATATAGGCCAGAGACTTCCCTGGTGGTCCAGTGGCTAAGATTCCATGCTCCCATGCAGGCAGGGGGCCCAGGGCACGATACTTGAGACCCAGTGAATGAAAATAAGAATAAAAAGAAATAAACAGTAGAAATACATTAAAAAAAAAAGCCAAGACTTTAACACATTTCACACGGAAAACACGTGAATGGCCAAACAGACATGAAGCAGTGCTCACCAGGCACACATCAGGGAAATACAAATTAAAACCATAATGATACCACAGCACACCCGCTAGAGTAGCTAAAATTAAAAAGACTTCAAATATCCAAGTGCTGTCAAGGATATAAATTAACCACAGTTTTCATACATTGCTGGTGGCAATCTATTTGAAACTATGCTTGGAGTTTTCTTGAAATATTAAACGAACTCTTCCCATATCACCTAGGAAATGCTTATCCAGATAAATGCTGAAGAAAAATGAAAACATATTTACAAAATACCTGAATACAAATGTTCAGGTAAAAATCTGTAAAACTAAAAACTGAAAACAACCCAAATGTCCATCAACAAGAGAATAATAAACTGTGCTACATTCATATATTGTGTGTGCATGCTGAGTCACTTCAGTCATGTCCGACACTTTCTGACCCTATGGACTATAGCCACCAGGTTTCTCTGGCCATGGATTCTCCAGGCAGAATACTGGAGTGAGTTGCCATGCCCTCTTCCAGGGGATCTTCCTGACTCAGGGATGGAACCCACGTCTCTAATGTGTCCTGCAATGGCGGGCAGGTTCTTTAATACTAGTGCCACTTGGGAAGCCCATTCATACATTGGTGGGCTACTTAGTAACTAGCAACATAGAACTTAAAACCATCATGCTGAGTGAAAAAAAAAATGGGCACAAGGGACTTCATAATGTATGATTACATTTATGCAAAATTCTAGAAAAGACAAAAGTAAACTATGATGAAAATAGAAACAGAATAGCCTTTGTCTCCAGAGTGGGTGAAGAAGTTACCTGGGAAATGACAAAGGGGAAGCTTCTAGGGTTATGTTTTATATCTTGATAGCATTGCGGATGGCACAATTGCAAACATTTGTTAATAAGTTTATAAAATTGTATATTAAATGTTGGTACATTCCATGGTATGTAAATTTAACCTAAGTTAAAGATGTGTGTGTTTAAGAATTACTGAAATACATACTACTATATATAAAAGAGAGAATAAGGAACTACTGTATGGAACAGCAAACTATACTCAATATCTTGCAATCACTTATAATAGACAGAATATGAAATATTACATACATGGGAATCAGTTTGCTGAAACATGGAAAATCAGCTATACTTCAATATAAAATAAATAATGTTGACCAAAAAAAAATTATTACTTGAAAGTGAGCACTGATATCAGATAGTCTTGAGTTGAATCCAGGTCCCATTATGAAATTTATTCCACAAGTATTTACTCATTGAGCTCCTTTTACATGCCAGGCACTGTTCTCATTATTGGGGATACAGTAGTGACCAAAACTGACAGAAATCACTACCCTCACAAAGTTGTTTAGGAAACTGTGCTAAGGGTAAAGAATAAATCACCGAAGGAATTTAAGAGAGGGAGGAAGGTGATCCAGTTTGCAATTTCAAAAGATCATGCTAATCCCCATTCACTAAATGAAGATGTGCTATCAGCTGTGTGGCCTTAGATAGGGGCTTCCCAGGTGGTGCCCGCGGTAAAGAATTCTCCTGCTAATACAGGAGACATAAGAGATGTAGGTTTGATCCTTGGGTTGGGAAGACCCCATAGAGGAGGGCATGGCAACCCATCCCAGTATTCTTGCCTAGAGAATCCCATGGACAGAGGAGCCTGGCAGGCTACAGTCCACGGGGTCGCAAAGAGTCAACATGACTGAAATGACTCAGCATGCACGTATGCAGGTATCTAAACTTTATCTTTGTTTTAAAATTGGGAAAAAGAACTGCCTATATCAAGGATTATCATAAGGATTATAGAAACACAGGTAGCAACTGACATTTAAAAATTGTCTAGTAGCTCTTGTTATGACCAAACCTGAAATACTTCCACTCCATTACATGAATTGGTAAACTTCATTACTGCAGCTGGAGTCATAAAATAGAAAAATGCATCTTCAAAATTATCTGAGTGATCATTGGGGAAGCCATAAGATTCCTTGAAGTTCATTGTCTTCTAGTATTCCATCCCCTAGAATCTGATCTCAAGTCATAAAAGCAGGAACAAAAAGAATTCACCATGGAGAAAAAAGTCTCATCTTTGAGGTCCTCTAGAAAAACTGTTGGAGAAGGCAATGGCACCCCACTCCAGTACTCTTGCCTGGAAAATCCCATGGACGGAGGAGCCTGGTAGGCTGCAGTCCATGGGGTTGCGAAGAGTTGGACATGACTGAGCGACTTCACTTTCAGTTTTCACTTTCACGCATTGGAGGAAATGGCAACCCACTCCAGTGTTCTTGCCTGGAGAATCCCAGGGACGGCGGAACCTGGTGGGCTGCCATCTATGGGGTTGCACAGAGTTGGACACGACTGAAGCAACTTAGCAGCTGCGCAGCAGCAGAGAAACTGAAAATACTCTTTGATGTTCTGTGTGAAAACCACCATGTGTGAGTGGAGGGCCTGATTACTGAGGAGACAATTTAGTGAAGGTAAGAAGTTCTGAGACCGAAGGAAGTTGGGGAAGGGAAATCCTGTAGAACTATCCAGAATCAGGGGTCCCCACACCTGACGACTCATCAGAATCACTGGGGGGAACCTGACGTATCATCTACATTTGTGCAGAGCACGCTCTGGATCTCCTCACTCAGACAGCCTGGGAGGGCCACCTAAGCATCTGTACTTTAGAAACAAAACAAAACAAAAAACCTCCAGATAATGATGATAGTCGCTCCTCACAATTGGGATACAGAGGATTGGTGGAGAATGTAACACCCAGAATATGAAGTCTGGGGACTTCCCTGGTGATCCAGTGCTGGGACTCTACTCTGCCAATGCAGGGGGCCTGGGTTCCATCCTTGGTCAGGGAACTAAATCCCACGTGCCACTGTGCTCAGTTTGTCTCTTATGCCTCAGAACTCTCTTCTAATGTAGATATTATGTTCTGCATCTTGATAGATGAAGGAGTGGAGGCCCAACAAAGTGAACTTGGCCAAGGCCACATGGACAGTAAGTGGCAGGGTCATGATTCAAACTCTTACCTGACTGGATCCAAAGTCTGTGTTCTTAACCACTCCACCATGCCACTCTCCTGGCTGGGAATACCTTCCACTAGTCCTCAATCCCCTAGACAGGCTGAAGTGATGTGTAAAGGATTTCTGGCCTGGCAGATGGGCTATCTTTGCCTTCAATGTAGCACAGAGAAATTCCACCCAAAGAAATATGGATCAGGAAGACTGGAGACCAGCTCGTCCCTTACCCCAACAATGGTGTCTGTGAACTGCCTGCTTGCCTTCTTGAGTTTGTCATTTCTCTCTCGACTTATGTACCCAGAAGCAGCAGTCCTCACCGTGGACCAATGCACAGCGGAGGAGACCCGGACAGACTCGGCATGGCTTGCCCATTGTCAGGTCCACAAGTCTACAGACTGCAGCTGGGGCTCAGTTGGCTTTCCTGACAGTGACAAAGTAGCTTGGAAGACTGGGGAGGAGACCGGCCCAAGAATAGCCTGGATTGTCCAGCTGGTGGCCCGAAGCCAAGCAGGCACTGTGCCAGGGCCACAGCTGGCTGCTGCTTCCTTACGAATTATGGCAGAGCATTTGTGGAAAGCCAACAGGACAGCACTTTGTGGAGGGCAACCAGGATACTTCTGACTGTGCTGTGTATTCTAATAACATACGAGCTGTAAAATGGATGCAGGTCACAAAGGCAAGAGAACAAGCAGAAATGAGACAGAATGAAGACGGCTTTGATGGCCAATCACATGCAAATCATTTGTGTATTTCCATTTCCTCTGACTTCAACAGTGATGATTATATGTGAGTTTAAACCATGGTATGTGCAAGTTCTCTGCAACACTAATGTGGTATGGATGGTGGGAGTTTTGCAATCACAAGAAAAGTGAGGGAAGACCAAGGCTCTGTTCTGCAGGCCTAAGCTCTACCTCTGAGAGAATGTATGACTTTCTGTTAAATCATTTTGACTCTCTTTGAATCAATATTCCCATGTGAAGGAATGAAGGGACTGAACTAGAATACTGGGATTCAAATTGCGTTCCTCAGAACCCCCTCAGGAAGCACTCTGAGGGGAGATACAGGTGAGAATTACTCGGGCTCTACCTTCCCTTTAGTGCCTTCAACCAGAGGGCTCCGTGGTTAAAATAATTTTGAAAACCAGTGAACTCAATGATATGCAGGGCTGACCCTGCAGAAACTCTATGGTCTCCACGTGCTATGAGGCAGCATCCATGGACAGGCTATGCCCTTGAGACATCTCTTAACTGGATGCTGAATTATACACATTCATACACAAGTGCACTTCTCTGGGGGAAAGGGTTAATAGGTTGCATCAGATTCTCAAAGGTATGCATGAGCCCTGCTAGTAGAACTGTAGAATGTTTAGAAGACTCCACACCATAGAAATCCATTGCACTATGAATCTGGATTGGGTATAAATGAGGACATTAGGATACATCTAAAAAGAAAGAAGAAATCAAAAGGAAAAGAAAGCAAGAGATCGGTTTTCATCTAATCTAGCCCATCAGAATTAGATAAATCATCACAATAGAGTCTCTCCATAGACGAGACTGAGAGCATTGTCCAAGCTTATTAAAACCCATTACACTGAGGAGAAACAATTCATACTTCCATAAGACACTCTCAAAATGCACAACTGATTTCCTGGCATTCAGAAAGGCTTGGCAGAACTGCTGGGAACTATGTAGTGGAAAGGCAGATAAAGAATGAGCAAGCACAGAAACAGATTTACTTCGGACTTCCACATCAGACTGATGTCCAACTCAAGACCAAGAACATAGATGGGAGTTAAAAGTACAGCTGCCAGAAACACAAACTCCATTTGACTTCTTTGGCACATAGTTGTCACTCAATAAATACTTGCTGATGAGTTAAGTGACTCTCCCCAACCAATAACTGGTAGGAATATTAAATACTTTTAGTCCCCCAAAGTCCTTTTTCATATGACATGAGATCCCTACTCTAACTTTCTAGGCATCTGCCAAGACTCCACTCCGGGCCAGGCCTTCTGACCACTCCTTTGCTGGATGACTCTCAGCATGGCTGTGGTTGCAGACTGGAGTGTGGCAGTTTGGAGAACAAATTACCTGGGGACGAGTCCATGAGTGTCCCGGGACATTTGCCATAGAGATTATGGTTCCTTTGGCACTGGTTACCCAACCCTCATGGAACTACCTTCGTGGGGTGATGTGCCTGGGTGACTCTCATGGCTTGGCCTAGCTCATGCCTGGGGCTTTCTCTGTGTCCCCACCTCACCACAGCAGCCCACACCTACACAAACTCTCTTGGTACTTGACTTACACTACCTTGGGTTGCTGGATTTACCTGCTCTGCAGTTATCTGACCTCCCTTGTAACATTGCATACCATATGAGAATAAAGAGAAAACAAATCAAAAAGAATCTTCATAGTTGGTGTTTCGCTTCTAGAAAATCCTTATTTAGCTGGTTTCATATGTCTCATTTCTAAACACGGCAAACCACTCCATTATTCTTGCCTGGGAAATCCCACAGACGGAGGTGTCTGGAGGGCTACAGTCCATGGGGTCGCAAAGAGGAGGACACAACTTAGCGAGTGAGCATGCGCACACTTCTACATGTCTAGAAAAGCAATATGGATAACTAGAAAGTTGTTTCCATTTTACCACCTAACACCTCTTTGACTTTGGTCAGGATCAACTAGCCATGCCTTTGTTTCATGATCTGTAAGATGGGGATAGAAATAATACCACATATTCATACATATGGGCTCCAAAATCACTGCAGATGGGGCTGCAGCCATGAAATTAAAAGACGCTTGCTCCTTGGAAGAAAAGCTATGACCAACCAAGACAGCATATTAAGAAGCAGAGACATTACTTTGCCAACAAAGGTCCAGAGTCAAAACCATAGTAAAAGCTATGGTTTTTCCAGTAGTCATATACGGATGTGAGAGGTGGACTATAAAGAAAGCTGAGCACTGAAGAACTGATGCTTTTGAACTGTGGTGTTGGAGAAGACTCTTGAGAATCTCCTGGACTGCAAGGAGATCCAACCAGTCCATCTAAAGGAAATCAGTCTTGAATATTCATTGGAAGGACAGATGCTGAAGTTGAAACTCCCATACTCTGGCCAGCTGATGTGAAGAACTGACTCATTTGAAAAGACCCTGATGCTGGGAAAGATTGAAGGTGAGAGGAGAAGGGGATGACAGAGGATGAGATGGTTGGATGGCATCACCGACTGAATGGATGTGAGTTTGAGTAAGCTCCAGGAGTTGGTGATAGACAGGGAAGCCTGGCGTGCTGCAGTGCATGGGGTTGCAAAGAGTTGGATATGACTGAGCAACTGAACTAAACTGATTCATACATATATTTGGCAAATATATACTTGTTGAGAAGTTACTCTCAGCCTGTATGCTTGGCACAAAGCATAGACACAGAATCGTTTTCATTAAATTAATGAAGGAACAAATGAATGAATACCAGGATTATATGGTACACCACCAAGGGATCTATGTGTAGGTGACCTTCTATATTCCCCTTGAGGTCTAATATTGCTGACAAGATATTTTCCTACATCATAAAAGTGGGCCTGATATAAAAATTGTCACTGGAAGCATGAAGGTTCTGGAATGATTCAAGAGAATCTGTGCTAACTACATGATTTAGGGGGCTGAGTACAAGATAAGAGAGGATGGTGTATCGTGTTCTAAAATAAAGAATTTCAAGATGGCAGCAGCAGAGCATTAAAATAAGAACACACACCCTAAAGAGACTGCTAAAGATCAGAAGTCTCGTTAATGTCTGCAGCCAATAAGAGTGAGTGTTAAAGAAGAGCTGTTTTTATTTTTAGTATTTGGATGAATAGAAGTTTTTTAAAATTAATTTTGATGTATCAACTCTTTCAATCATTTCTTTGTGATTCCTGTTTTGCTACCTCTTGTAAACTCTGACAATTATTACACAGCAAGAGGATATGAAGGCAAAGATTAATTTACCTGTGTGTGAAGAATATTTCATTTATTCTTAGTTTAATGTAAAGTTGATGACACAATGACTTATAAACCAAATCACAGGGAGAATACTTGTTCCCTCTATACTTTTTAGGAAATACCATCTGTTGTAAAACTCAGTGGCATTTTCTTGTCTAAGCAATCCCACTGGGTCATAATTTAAAACTAGTTAAAAGTTTTCCAAGCTAAAAAGAATTGGAAATAAATGAGTTTCCTTACTTCCTTTAATTCTTTTGTGGACCAAACACCTTTTCAGAGTCCTGATTAAGTGCTGGCACAGCATTGGGGACTCTGAAGACAAAGAGATAAAAATACTATCCAAGTAAACAGAGAGCATCAGGAGGGCTAGATATGACATGCAAACAAGGAGAAATGAGAGAAAAACAAATGCTATCCTCAAAATATGCCAAAGCACAGAGAAAAAAGAAGAAAGCAGACTGATATCTACCTTAGACAAAATGTTTAAAAGCTAATTCCTGAAAGGGGAATGAGGTAGATGTAGAAGGCAAGGAACCTTCTTCAGGTGGAGAAATGGGCATATGGAGATAAAGTTGCACAAATAATGTATGTGCTTTTTGTTTCCCCCTCTAGAATAGAAACTCTATGAACACAGGACCTTGGTTCTGTTTGCTCACAGTGGTATACCTGGTGTCTAGCTATAAATAGGCACTGAATGAATGAATGGTGCTTTATTCTAGAACTCTAAGTATTTTGGTATGATGGGAAATAAACAGGGATGATGAGAGTAGAGACTAAATAAAGTGGAGACAAACTGGGCAGAGTTCTGTATATCATGCCAAGCAGTTCAGGCTTTATTCTGCATAATCAATATGGAGCCATTGAAGAGGCTTAACAGGAAAGTGCCACAGTCACCTGTGAGCCAGTCAATGGCTTCTGAAGGAAAGGCTGGGGTGTGGGGGAAGGTGGAGGAGGACTGACTGGAGGTGAAGAGGACTTCTGACTTATTGGTGTCACTGATGTTTGAGATCAACAGAAGGTGGATTAAAGTAGTGGTAGTGGGGATGGAGATGACGTCTATTTAAGGAATAAACTCGAGAACTTTGCAATGGAACAGATTTGGGGGAGGGAGAGAAACGCCGGCTGCGACCGACCGCACAGGAGCGGCGGCCGAGAGGAGCTTCCCCACGTCCGAGGTCAGGGGCGGCGGCAGAGAGGAGCTTCCCCACACCCTAGGTCAGAGGCAGCTGCCTAGAGGAACTACCCCACCCCGGAGGTCAGGGGCCCCGCCCGAGAGTAGCTACCCCACCTCCAAGAAGCTGCTGCTGCGGGGGCACAGGAGGGCCGAGAGGAGCCACTCCACATTCAAGGTCAGGAGGGGCGGCCTGAGAAGATACCCCTCGTCCCAGGTAAGGAGCAGCGGCTGTGCTTTGCTGGAGCAGCCGGGAAGAGATACCCCACGTCCAAGGAAAGAGAAACCCAAGTAAGACGGTAGGTGTTGCAAGAGGGCGTCAGAGGGCAGATACACTGAAACCATAATCACAGAAAACTAGCCAATCTGATCACATGAACCACAGTCTTGTCTAACTCAATGAGACTAAGCCATGCTGTGTGGGGCCATCGTGGTGGAGAGGTCTGACAGAATGTGGTCCACTGGAGAAGGGAATG